AATAGCAATCAGTAGAATAGAATAGAATAGAATAGAATAGAATAGAATAGAATAGAATAGAATAGAATAGAATAGAATAGAATAGAATAAGTATAAGTATAAGAAAGAAATGTGCAGAAGTGGATTAAAGGCATAGATTTGATATAGAAAATAATCGTAACACAATTAAAAATAATGTATATAACAATAATTCTGTTGAATAAGTATAAATCTACAATTTTTGAGATGCACAAGGTGTACTGAAGTTGATAACATTTTTTTTCACCAAGAATAGCAAAAACTATTCTTCAAATATTAGAAAAGTGAAGATATCTTCATGAAATGAACAAATCTGAGAGAGATCCACCTGAGGTAGCATTATATATTAAATGTCAAAGCAATTGGTCTTGCACTTTTCAGGAAGAAACCGAAAATAACACTTTTTACCAAAACTAAGTCAGTACTTTTGTGGGGAAAAAAGGCATTGCAAAATATTACCTCTGCTAGCATGGCTGCCAACTGTTCTGAAGTAAGACCGTTGTAGTGAAAGCTTTCTTGACTCGGCAGTGGATATGGTGGCGAATTACAAATCAAAATACAATGCTTCTGCACCTGTACACTGTAAAGTTTACACACAGAAATTACGGTGATTAAGGTAAGGTATGTACTACAATAACAATTCTTATATTTTGCCCATCCTTACTCAATGAAAAATTACTAAACATAGAATATCATTCATTAATTTTGTGTGTGGAAAGATATGGGTGAGGGTTCTACAACAGTGAGAGCATGTTTGCTGAAAAGAAATAAATAAAACTTCATTCTTCAATAATGCACCCAGAATTAGGTTAATTCAGGTGACCATTTTCAATTGATGCTACAAAATTAAAGCTCTCTAAAATGATAGTGAATAATAAATATAAGTAGTATCAGGGGTACATTACTTGGGGTTTGCAACTACAGTGACATGATACTAAGATCCCGTTTCAATCTCGCTCTCACATAAGTATTCCAACTCAGAAAAATACGAATGCGCATGCCCGAGGTAACTAGGATACTGGGATGTCCAGGTGGACTAAAATAGCGGCTCACGATATGACAGATTACGATAACTATATTTTCTGTACATTTTCGCTTGGATGGAATCTTGGCATGATGTCACCATACAGTACGATGCGAATTGCAAACCCCAAGTAATATACCTCTGGTAGTATATACATGTATAATAAATACATAACTGAGCTACATGTATATACTCTTTTACATTACACTACCTGGTTTACACTACACTCACCTTGTACTATGTCCCTGTCGCATAGATTTCATATCGTCAAACAGCGTTAAGGCCGTGCCCAAACCTTCAGAAATCAAACTAAACTTTTCACCAGCTCCCGAAATAAACCTATTAACAATAATTAGCAGAACATCGTATAAAAACAAAGATACTTAAATTTGTAGTTTTGGGAGCAACATAGAGAGAAATGATGGTGGAACTTACTATCACCATCAGTGAACTTGCATAAGGGTATGATGACGCTCACCAATTCTCTACTCCCAGGGTTGTGTATCAAATATTGCGAACATTAAATCTTTAATTAGGCCAAAAAAAAAAAAAACTCATGTTGCCCTCAAGTCGGAAAATTGAAAAATTGGGTCGGTCAGTCGGAATTTTTTTTCTTTCTTTTAAACTTGTGAAAATTAAATAGCGTAAATAGCCGAGGTATATGGGGAAAAAAAACGCGACCCGATATTTCATATTTTTCGGGCGGTTGCTGAGGGAAAATTTCTAATTAAATTAAAAAACAAAAACAATATGATTTGTCCAGCAAACACTTACTCTATGTTGTCAAAACTGTCAAGTAGCTTCCATGCCTTTGTAGTGGGATCCGTACAGATGCATGACTGGTTGGGAGCGCAGTCTGCTGTGTTGTAAACCACCAAAGAGTAGAATGTGTTGCCGCCAATCTAAAGACAGAATTATTCATTGTTATCAAATCCAACCCCATATCATAATGTGTTAAATCTCCCAACTTAGATACGCACCACACAAGAAAATTTAATTTTAAAAATCGCTAATCGTAATGAGCATTAATTCATATTGCAATAAATCAACAATAATCATTAGTGTGAATTTAGATGTGTATAATTACGACCGATTGTATTGGCGGCCAAATTGGGGCGTTATACGGTTAACAACCTCCACATCATGTACGCATATTTAACCTAATTTTTGAAGTTTTTTGTGGGTTAACAAATTCCTTATATATTCAAATAATACAACGGAGCGTATTTTTCCAATTTGACTGCCTGTCTAGGATTTTAATTAGTAGCAAGCATTGAATCATTATTAGTCATGAAAATCTCAGCTGATATATTAGTGTTCAGTTACCTTAGGGCCAAAGTCACCATATTTAACTACCGGACCACCATTAAAATATCTGCAGAAAAAAACACATGTATCAATTACCACCAAGAAGATATACTTTTACATTGCAATTCTGTATTGTCATAAAGGTGCTCATTTGCATAATGTTGGTTCATTATGCTTCTCATTTGCATATTCATATTGCATCACAGTCTTATGATTTTATCTATATTTTAGTTACTACCCTGCACTTGAATACCAATGCATCACATTGACAAATAAATTTGCTTGTTACATTGCTTTAAGGCAAGCATCTGGCACCTGCATTTAAAAACACAACTACAGGATTTTGTCCTACCTACTCGAGAAAAAAAATAAATATACAAATGCATCACTCTGTATAGTTATTACATGTGCATATGCCTTACTGTAACCAAGACGTCTGTATTATAATATGGGTCACAGGCGACCTATATCCTGCATATGACTACACAGACACATCAAGGTCCTTAACCCCAACTTACAAATCTGCATATCTGAGTCCTGTGTTTTTCTTGTACTTTAATAATAACTACTAACCAATTTTTGTGATCCCATAGGAGGCATTAACAAATAAATACATGTAAGAACAAGCAGCCTCTC